AATACCGAGACACCGGTCAATTCACACTACTTTGGGAAATTTAACTCTTGCCACTTGTCACCTCTTGAAGGTAATTTTTTTATCAATAATTTTTTGTAATTTATTGGAAGTATAGGTTTAAAAGATTGTTTTATTTCTTAAAGAGAAGATTTTAAACTATGAGAATACAATTTTGGGGCTTAGTCCATTTTTTTTATTATTTTTTTTTCAGTAAGATGTATTTTGTCGTTAGAGAAAGTATTTTTGTTCCTATTTATTATTTTCAAAGTCCATATGTATTTGCAATATTGAATTACATGTATATGTATTTATATATGTTTCAGATCTGTCATTGCTTTTGCACAAGTCTAAACAAGAAATAAATATCTTTGCAAAATCCCAATATGTTATAAACTTATGAACTTTTTTTGGAAACAAAATGTTAAACTAACATAAAACTTTACGGAGCAAACCGCATCAGCTAATTTAATTTCCCACCTATTTATCACTGCTTAACAGAGTCTTAAATTAAAAGAGTCAAGAAAATTGCTTCGATATTTTTATGTGGGATTATTGTGGGAAAACTTATTTTGCACTTTCAAAAACAGCTATTTACAGCTTTTCTATTTCAGTGGTTTAAATTTGTGAACAATTGAATGAATGAATGTCATGAATGAATTTTCATTGATATTTGCTCCTTTGAAATTGGTTTACCTAAGGTTTGAGCTTTGAGGTACATGTACTAAAAATAATCTGAATTCTTATGACAGAAGGTTTTCGTATTTTATTGTAAAGTCTTAGAAATACGAGGGGCGTTCAATAAATAATGTCATTGGGGCTTGGAAAGAAACCAAAAAAACCGCTTTTCTATGATTGAGTCTGAATGATTTTACTAAAATATTCTCTTTTAATTAAAACACATGTCTGTAACATTTTTATTCAATTTCTTATTGTTTTAGAACACATTTTTGAGTATAACCCTTCGTGCACTGGAATATGGCAGATCCTTTGATTTGCTGTACTTGTTTTTTTTTAATCTAAGGTTGGGAAATGAAACAAGTCAAAGGTTGAAAGATCTGGCAAATTTTTTTGGTGTGACAAAACATTAACTTCTCTGTTAATCCTCCAAAACTGTTTTACTCTTCATTGCCTGTGGGTTTGAACGTTGTCATGAAGAAATTTTATGTAGTGAATTCCTCATTCTGGTTCCTTCCTCTCATAAAGCTTTCAATTTTTTTTTGCATTTTTTTCCCAGACTCCTCCTGAAATGGAACTTTCTTTCCGAATATGAATTTGAACGATAACACTGCTCATATACTGAAAGGAAAAAGAACCGTATAATAGCATATTAGCGAAATATATTTAACTATGTGGCCGAAAGTTATAAAAAAAAAAATTGGTCAAATGTGTATTTTTATTACTGTGCACTAAAATCGCTGGTCAAAATTACTCAGCCATGAAATGTATGGCGTCACGTAGGGGAAGTGATAAAAAGCCTAATACACGTGCATTTCGATGATGACAATTTTATGATCACATTTTGTAGTGCCAAGTAAAAATGTCTTGCAATCATGGTATTGTTGACGGAAGTTACATGCGGTCTAGTAATTGAGTTGCATAACTGAATAAAAAGGCAACAACATGTTGTTGTGCAGTTTGTTTTTAACTTCTCAAGCAAAAAAGGTTTTTCGGTTGTCAGAGAGTAACTTAAAATGTTTCCAACCAACCATGACGGTAACGTTGGTGCGTAACAAAGTCACATCAAGAGAGGATTTTTCATCATGCCACCTCGGTTATTGTCAAGTCATTATTACTGAAACCGATATTTTTACAGCTGATAATCATACTCATATTTTCACCCTGACAGATACTGACAGAAACTCTCTGCTCTAATTTGGTACGCAAGCTTGGCAACTTTACGTCAATTTTAGTCTCACACGCACCGTATGCGTAATGTTTTTAGGATGTTCACGCTGAGAAAATGTAGCCAGATTTTGTCGAGACTTCCTTAAAACATTCACGTGTACCGAAAAAGCTACATTCGGTCAATTCTATCATAAATTCTATCTTAAATCGAAAATTCGTGGGATTCATTTGGCGGGGGGATTTGTTGGCTTTGGAATAATACATCTACTCTCAACCATTAAGACTACTGTCGGAAGGATTGAATGATAATCCTATGAGAAAGATAAATACTCAATGCACAAGAAAATCAAGACTGTTACTGATGTGCAAGTGACATGATGAGAATTTTTATTTTAATTTTGGGGGTATCGACATATCAACTTCAATATCTCCGAAATTATCAGTCAAAGTCACACAAGATTTCGGTTACTTGTTGTTTAAAGTTGAATTAAATGTTTGATAACAATACTGGAAAACATATTGGAAATAAAAGTTTAAATTTTATTCTAAAGTTTGTTATGCGTTTCTTTTTCTTTTCAGTATATTTAAGAAAATAGCATATAAAACTGTAGGCCTTTGCAGTTTTGTTAAGTGCATCTTAAATTTGTTTTGAGGGTTTGAAGCAAAATGGATTCAAATTTCTTTATCTGTTCGACTTTCAAACAAACGTGGATGAGACAATTTTTGATTTTAAAAGATAATTGTTTAGATATTCCTACACGCTGTCGTTTTCACCATTTTTCAAAATATAGGGTGACCTTTGAGTATTAAACTTTTTAGCTCACCTGAGCCGAAGGCTCAAGTGAGCTTTTCTGATCACATTTTGTCCGTCGTCCGTCCGTCTGTCCGTCCGTCCGTCTGTAAACTTTTCACATTTTTTAAAATTCTTCTCAAGAACCCCTGAGTAAATTTTAACCAAACTTGGTACAAAGCATCCTTGGGTAAAGGGAAGTTTTAATTGTTAAAATGAAGGGCCAAGTCCTGTTACAAGGGGAGATAATCAAGAAAAGACAAAAATAGGGTGGGGTCACTAAAAAATCTTCTTCTCAAGAACCACTGTGCCAGGAAAGCTGAAACTTATGTGAAAGCATTTTTGGGTAGTGTAGATATTAAATTGTTAAAATCATGACCCCGGGGGTAGGGCGGGGCCACAATATTGAATCCAAGTTTAACATCGAAATATATAGAACAAATCTTTAAAAATCTTCTTCTCAAGAACCACTGGGCCAGGATAGCTGAAACTTATGTGGGAGCATCCTTGGGTAGTGTAAATATTAAATTGTTAAAATAGTGACCCCCGGGGGTAGGGCTGGGCCACAATAGGGAATCCAAGTTTTACATAGAATATGTAGAACAAATCGTTAAAAAATTTTCTTCTCAAGAACCACTGGGCCAGAAAAGCTGAATCTTATGTGAAAGCATCCTTGGTTAGTGTAAATATTAAATTGTTAAAATCATTACCCCCAGGGGTAGGGCGGGGCCACAATATGGAATCCAAGTTTAACATAGAAATATATAGAACAAATCTTTAAAAATCTTCTTCTCAAGAACCACTGGGCCAGGAAAGCTGAAACTAATGTGGAAGCATCCTTGGGTAGTGTAAATATTAAATTGTTAAAATCGTGACCTCCGGGAGTAGGGCGGGGCCACAATAGGGAATCCAAGTTTTACATAGAAATATATAGAACAAATCTTTAAAAATCTTCTTCTCAAGAACCACTGGGCCAGGAAATCTGAAACTTATGTGGGAGCATCCTTATGTAGTGTAGATATTAAATTGTTAAAATCATGACCCCCGGGGGTAGGGCGGGCCATAATAGGGAATCCAAGTTTTACATAGAAATATAAAGAACAATTCCTTAAGAATCTTCTCAAGAACCACTGGGCCAGGAAAGCTGAAACTTATGTGGAAGCATCCTTGGTTAGTATAGATTCTAAAGTTTTAAAATAAAAAAGGGAAGGGGGTTGTTGGTCATGATAGGTATAGCAAGAGGGGGAATTTGGTAAAGATCTGCATCACCCAAGTTACTCAGATGAGCGATGTGGCCCATGGGCCTCTTGTTTACTATCAAACATTTCTTTAAAACAGTGTGAACTACCCCTTAAATGATTTCTATCAATTTTGCTATGAGTCTTAAAGTCAATAAAACATAATCAGTGATAAGCTGTTGAATTTTCGCAAATATAATTATATTGGTTATTGTAAGTCTTTGTTGCCAAGGACGGTCCCAATTTTGATGCACATTATATAATTTTTGTTTGTTGCAATCCACCTGTTCACGTGTATATAAAACAGACATTGGTTGCTGTAAATTTCTCATATTTCAGTTAATATATTTTTAGGGATATTAACAAGTTTAACTTCTCTCTAGTTCACAGATTCATTGTTAATGCAGTGTCTCAAGTAACCCTTGTTTTCCAGCTTCCCACAATAAAATTATGCGATTTAAAATGGTCACATTAACTGTTATCAATTCATTAAAGATTCAATAATGAGAGAAAGCCAAGCTTATTGTCTTATGATTTCTATGTTGTATGTCATCGAGCTAATGACATTATTTATTGAACGTTTCTCGTACCTAGGGAGAAAATTGTGGGACATAGAAAAATGACATTGGCGATAACAAATCGAGTACACGTATTTCAATCAAAGTTAGTTGATTTTTTAAAAATAAATTATGAAAGATTTTACGTCATGTTCTTGAAAAATATTTAGATATTAAACAAATGTATCAGAATCTTCAAAATCTGATGAAATAATTATTGTTCACAGATAAAGCGTCGTAGATTCGGGAAATTCAAACTTTTTGGTAAAGTGCGAAATTAAATAAAAAAATATAGTAAAAGCATTTTTCTAATACATGTATAAGGATAACGAAAAAATAATATGAAACTTTCCAAATTATTTCCCTTGGCCGCCATCTTGGTGGTCAACCTGGTAATTTTTTCCTCTTTGTCCTACTAAATTTAAGAGGGTGTAGCAGAAATATTTAAGGAAAAATTTTTATGGAAATAAAATTATAAATGAAGGATGCTCTTAACAAATTGTATATTTTACAGAAAAACAATGCTCCCTACCTATTGCAAATATAAAATATTTTTAAGTTTATTGAATAATGAAGGAATATGAGATTCTGAAATTCAATAATCATGCATATTTCCTGTACCTGGTTCTGCGGTCTGAACTAACAGACAAAATCTGGTAGCGAAAAACATCAAAAGAACCTAGTGGCACGAGCTACGTTTTTCTAATATTATTTCTTTAGCGAGTCCTTCGACTTCACTTAACATTCGTTTCCGGATTTGAAGCACAATGCACTGAAACCTAATATATTATTTTTGTAACCATTAAGTCATGTTTTATTCCTATGTCATATTTCATAAGACACTTGTCCTTATATTTACCCTTTTTGTAGAATTTTCTGTTTTCTGGTAGAGCACATACATGTATTTTATAATGAAACATAACAACTACTGCAATTTGTTTCAGGTTCAAAAATATGGATACCTCTAAATTTTTGCTCATTGCACTGGTGCTTACAATATGTGCAGTTGTCTTTCAACTGATTGGATTGGCGTCGCCTTACTGGACGGTAATTGATGCAACGCTAGTAAAAATTAATTCCGGTTTGTGGAAGATGTGTACTGAAACTGTTTCGACTGGAGATACCAAGTGCGAAGATGTTGTTATAGCAGATGGTTATAAAGGTACATTCTTTACAAAATCTATTCTGATTTTTCTAAGATTTGTTTTAGAATGGGAAGTATTCGATGGAAAAAATTATAAAACACATAAGGATAATTTATAAAAAAAAGATGAATACAAAATTTTATGTTATCACAATCAGGGGTAAATAAGCTTAAACCATAAACCATTGAAAAAAACTTTAAATTGAAAACTGTTGTCTGTTGCTATTTGAACATCAGATGTTACTATTAAATAAATAATTTTTTTATAGACGATATTAACGCAGTCCGAGCAATGGGCATCCTTGGATTGCTGGTATTGGTGGTAGCAGTAATCATGACAGTTTTAAAACTGTTCGTATTGAAAGAAAAGAAACCAATTTTATTTGGGGCCGTTGGCACAGCTTTTGCTGGAGGTGAGCTATATTTTATTAAGGTGATATCTGTAGGATTCTATTTTGTTTAAAAATTTCATTTTATCATCATTTTAAGGCTACATGTATGTTAGAAATATACAGTTCCGTGCACTTTTTTTTAAAACTCACGTTTTTTTCGCAATAAATGTGTAATTAGGCAACCAGATATATTTTGAAATGATTGTTTAACTTAATTTGAATTTTATTTCACTACCTAAAAGCATAATTCACGCAAAATAAATTTAAACTAGAGGTACTGTGAGCAATGAGCTCACTAATTGATACCCCGCCTCCCATATGTGTATAAATGGCAGTGTCTATCTTTTGCTATGGGAAACCCAAAATATGTCGTATAAAAAAGTAAAAATAGGAGGTCACAATGGCAATATGTAATAAAGATTCTGCGAAAGTTTCATCAAATTTCATTCAGTGGTATTAGAGGAGTTGCGGATTAGAGATGGGTACCCCAAAGTGTAACAGACAGACGGACCGACGGACATCCCGATTACAGTATACCCTCCCGCTTTTCAAGCGGGGGGGGGGGGTATAATAATAGATGGGATTTTGATTTGCTCCTGACTGATAGATTCTAAATGGCTTTCGTGGTTTATTGTCAAATGCAACTCTCTTTGTATTAGTTCATGTCATTGAAAGCCGTCTATACACAGAAACCGTACACCTCATGCACAGTGAAACAGATGAGAATACAGTATTTTCTGTAAAAGTTGCAAAAGACACCAATTTTTAATAGAATTTTCTTTCAGATAACATTATCCGCAGGCATCGCCCACAAAGATCTTGAGATATGTGATTTGTTATTGAATTTTGCACAAAATATTAAAAAAAAATAACGTGGGTGACGGCTGTGGACACTGTTTTCTAAGGGAAAATCTCCCTTGAAATGTGTCATTTTGAGGCTTTTTCTGTTGAAAATAGAGAAATGCTTCACATTAATGACGTCATATTTGCAGAATGGTAAACCTTCATGCCATATTCTTTCCTGATTTATTTCCTGAGTCATTTATTTAACTAATATTTAAGCCAGTTTCAAAACATTTTGATATCATTACATTTTTAGGGCGCCATAAAGCTAAAACCAAACCTTCTTCCAAAGCATCCAAAAAAAATAATTGGGCGTTTTGTAGTTGATTATTTTATGGTTAACATAATTTTTAATAGTCATTCTCTGTAACCATTTAAACTTCGTTGCCACGCATAGTCACCGATTTTGATGAAACCCCACCCATGCTTAGTACTTGACACCAGAAACAAATCTCAAACAAAATTCCGTTGCTATGTGTCTCGGTTGCTATGGCAACAGCCGGAAAAGTTGAAAAATCGAGATTTTCAGCCACTTTAAATCTTAACTGTGGCTTAATAGAAACTAGAAAAAGCAAACAAACCATTCTCACAAAAACATGACACCTTGATGTCACTTATACTGTAAAGAAACTGTTTAGAATATATCTCTAAGTAAGTGGTAACCAAGGGTACATTTGGAAAAACATTTAAAATGCTGAAATATGCTGAAAAACACTCTGTATTCACAAACGGTAGGTGCTTCATGCTCAAACTCAACCAACGACTTAAGAAAAACAATCGAAATGTTTGGCATTAAGTATATAAGTATAAGCAATATTATTCTATAAATAACTTTTATGGTTGCCATGGTAACAAGTGTAACCATGCAAAACCAGTAACTAAGATTGGGTTAATGCTACTGTCTTGAGGAATAACATGTAAATTAAAGACTGGCAAATATGCATCCTTAGGACCTCGCAACACCAAAACCATAAGAAAAATTTGTTATAATTGCTACTTTGCAGTGTTACCATGGAAACAAAGTACCAGTGCTTAAAAGTGAATTATTTTTGCTACATTAAGAATTAAATTGCCATTTAATCAAGAAACAAATTAAAGGACTCAGCTTGAATAGTATATATCTGTTAGAACTGAAGTTGAATATCATATATTGATAAAATTTGCTGAATAAAACAACACTGTTGCTATGGTTACCAAGAAGGGAAAATGTTCGATTAAGTGAACTTTATATCAATATTAAACCATGTGTACCAACTTTTTGCATCCACTTAGAGATTGGATGATTTTCAAAATTAAAAGTCAAGTTAGCTGTTAATAAATATCAATCATAAAAGTTTTGGGAATCTACATTTAAGGGTACGTATCCAAGGAAAGAAAATATTTTTCAGGTTTTTAAGCATATATTTTCTGCTTATTTCCATAGCAACGCTCTATTTAAAGAATCTAATCCGAATTTTTTTCAAATGGGAAAACTTGGAGCACACCAACATCTTATAAAATTGATCATTAGTTATGGGGAAATGTGCTTTTTTTACAAGATAGGATCAAATTTAAACATACAGAGTGTTACTTTGAAGGCTCTCTGTGGTATAAAAACCTTGGCAACCATTGCCAACCAAAATGAAATATCATATTTTGTTCTTGGTATATGTTTCAAGGCTCTTTTTCTATTCTTTGGTCACATTTCATCCTATTATTGCTTTTTATTTTTTACGTGTATGGCTTTATATAATTCAATGAATATTTTTTGACTTTTGAATACTTTGTTACCATAGTAACGTATGTAATAGTTGATTTACCAAACATTTTTATCATGCATTTGAGACATCTGACCTTCAACTTTTGGAAACAGTCATTGCCAATTGTTTGCTTTGCCGCAAATGTTAACTATGGGGCTCTTATCATGTTAAAAAATGCCATTTTTCGAACTTTAAGACATGTTACCATGGTAACTATAAAACATAGCAACCAATTTTTGCCTGATTTCAGTTTAGGGTATCAATTACTTTTATCATAGAGAGTTTGGAGAAATTCTGAGACTATGCGTGCCACAGCTCCTGTATAAAATTTCAAATCATTACAGAGAATGGCTCTTAATGCTTAAATTTTTATGAACTGTGTTGTATACATGCCACCAAATACATGTATTATTTTTATTTATTTCTTATTTATGCTTTTTTTTTTTTTTGCAGCGGTGTTTATCCTTATTTCAATAGCAATATTTGCAGACAGTGCGAAGGACATGAATACGCTCGACTACGATTACCACTTTGCTTTCGCCTTTAGCATAATAGGAATGATCGCAGCGATCGGTGCAGGGGTCGTCATGTTGGTTGAGATCAAGTTGGTTGAGATCATCAAAGGATAACTGAATTGCAACCTACTTTTGTATAAAATATTTTGGAAATAAAAAAATTAGATTTAGACATACATGTACTAGTATACAGTCTGGCGTTTTTATTCCTTTACAAATATTAGAAATCCCAGTGTAATTTACCTATTATCATCAAATTATATATATATATATATATATATATATATATATATATATATATATATATATATATATATATATATATATATATATATATATATATATATATGAAACTAGATTTTTTTTTAACAATTTTTATTTGCCTCATAACGTACGAATACATTGTCCATTTTTATGTTAAAAGTATATGTACATGTAAGAAGCAGGACAAAAAGTTATGTAAAAAAAAATTAATGTAATAATGGTCCATTATCAGTTAATTTTAAATCATCATGATCGCTAACAAACATAATTTATAATGCATAACGTTATGCATGAAACATTATAAGTCGATAAATACGTCTAACATCCAGTTTTGCTGATCTAAAATATAATTTTGAGCTGATTAATTTTATTTATTTTATTTATGTTAGTAACTAACTATCATAAAATCTAATAAATCAAATAATTATACTAAAATTGAAAGATATTTTCCATTGTGTATGTGGAGACTGGGCGATTCCCATTGTATATTTATATTTTTACAAAAATGATCTCCTACTGGTTAAAACTGCTCACCCCGAATACTTTAGAAAACAAAATAGTTTGTGTTTTGTATAAATATCTTTATTCTCAATATTTACGAGGAGGTCCAAAAAACCTATGGGTAGATTTCATTTATAAAATTTTAACCTCTTGTGGGTTTTCCAATATTTGGTATGAACAAAGTTCCATTGACAAGAATTGGGTAATTGCAGCAGTGAAGCAAAGATTATGCGACCAATTTATTCAAAAATGGCAAAGTGATATAAATAATTCATCAAAAGGTCAGATTTACACAATTTTTAAGAGTGAATTTGGATGTGAAAAGTATATAAGTATTTTACTTAGTAATCTAAAAAAAATACTAATGAAATTTAGAACTTCAAACCACCACCTCCCAATTGAAACTGGAAGATGGTCAAATATTCCATTAGATGAAAAAAAAAATTGTAAATTATGTAACACAGGGCAAATAGCATACGAATTTCATTTCATTTTAGAACGTAAAACATTGAACAGTAACAGAAGGAATCTTTTACATCCAAGATTTTGTAAAACGCCAAATACACTTAAGTTTTCTGAATTATGTCAATGACAAACCTAAAATCTTTAAAAACCCTGTTTGTATATTCATATCTAAAATAAATGACACTGTCTGTCCTCCATAATTGAAATGTTATACCTTTTTTTCTTTCATTGTATATTTATTACTTTATTATGTACATATGTATATGTATCATAATTATATTTATTATTTTTGTCAAGGCTTTATATACTGTACTTCATGTAGCACTGATGTTGGTGTGAGTGAATAAACGAACTTGAACTTGAAAATCGCAGAATACTCTTATTTACTTATTAAAATTCATTTAAGCATATATTTTATGTCTGTGACAAGACGAGAATAAAATCGATATACTAGTATTTTAGTTTCACTTTATTTCCAACAAACAGCAAACGTGTTAATTTTATTTTGTGTGCTTAATTTGGCGCTTCTGGCCACAATGATTAATTTGACCATACATCATTATAGACGGGAGTTTCATTCGTTGTTGCGTGAGGAGTTGTGCAATACTTGAAAAGGAAAGCATATTAACTTTTGGTTCAGGGTAAGGGATTTGTTGTTGTCAGCACTTTTGATTGTGCGTTTGAAAGATTGTACAAATCTTGCAGCTTGTCCATTGATGTGAGGATGGTACGGCGCAGATGTTAAATAATTGTCTTATTCAATTCTGGGCGATGAATTTTTAAATTTTGGCAAAATTTCGGGGCTTGTCAAAACCACTTCATTCAGTTGATCATGAGGAGTTGTTTCGTTGCTTTATCAAGCTCCAAATGATGGTATGCTTTGGTAAGATCAATTTGCGAGAACTTCCTCCCTCCAGAAAAATTCGCAAAGATATCAATTTTAGGAAGCGGGTATTGATCCCTTTCAAAACCGGGTTAAATGTGACTCAATAATCACCACATATGCGAATCTCATCATCCTTTTTCAGGGCTGGAATAAACTCACAGTGCGCTACAAGTTGTATATATATATGATCTCCTACATCTGAAGTCGTATCTGTGTCCAGCTCCATACGAATAAACCTAACAGCTAGTGCTACAGTAGATTTCACGTTAATGGGTTTTGATTGTTTCCCCTATATGCTTTTCACATCGATATGTAGGATTTGGTCATCTTGGTGTCGTTGCAAACTATCTCTGCGTTTCCCCAAGCACGCCTTCTCGATGTATCCCTTAATTGAACAAAAGCGTCACATAGTATTGATATGTTTACACTTATCTGGTTTATGGTCAACCTCACATCGAAAATAAGGTTGCATAGGTACATTCTTTTGTATGTGTGGTCTCTTGGATGTGAATGCTTTTATGTGTACCTTGGTGGTCGTTGTTTTCATTTGCTACTGTTGTCTTTACAGCTTTGTCAAAGGTCAGATCATCCTTTGATAAAAAGTTTTTTTCTGGATGTGTTTATCACGTAAGCCTCACACAAATCTAACAAGTGGTGTATTACCTAAATGATCAACAAAATTGCAATGTATTATAATTGGGAGATTGTGCAGATCAGCTTTGAACTTTAAAATTGTTTCGCCTTGATTTTCGTTCCGCTTTTCGAACCGGAAATTTTCTGCAATAACGAGGGGTTTAGGTTTCAAGTATTTATTGAGATGATCAATCAGCACTTCAAATGGTTGTCAGACATTTTCTCTCCCGATTACTATATATCGTCTTATTTCAAGCAGGGGTATAAAAATGAATTACACATAAAAGATTAATTTGAGATTTCCTATGATAAGTTATTTAAGAGGTCAACACCTAGTATCAGAAAATATACCAACAGAGGCTCTCAAAAATGAGAATGCATTATTTAACCTTCCACTTGAATGTGGGTGGGTATATATAGTGATTGAGATGTCCATCCGGCTGTTATGCTCTAAGGTACCAAACTCTTATCCATAACTCGTCTTATACTACTGTATGAATTTAAACGAAACGTCCAAAGAATCTGTGTTATATAGTGCCTTTGTGCATCTTCAATTTTACTTTTTTGTCGGACATATTTTTGGGTTTTCCATAGCAAAACATGAAAACGACCGTTCTTTTTATAAATATTGAAGGGTACTCGTATTTTATCCGCAACTCCTCCTTTACCATTGAAGAAAATTTAATACTTTCAGATTTTTGTTTCATTACATAATACCGTTCTGCACTTTTTAACTACTATTTCGTGTCTCCAAGAACAAATTAAAATATGGACTTTTCCATTACAATGATATGGGAGGCGGAGGTATCATTTAGTGAACTCAGTGCTGGCAGTACTTTAGCCTTTTATTTTTTGATGTCAAGGGATGGTGATTAATGAATGTCATTACCGTGTAAATCTAACTTTCGAACTATCCTTTTATTGATTTGTACGTATATGCACCGTAATTCTACACTTTTAACTACTAGTATCTGCTAATAGTTTCCTTATTCGGTTCGCCTGTAATGCGTTATAAATTTGGCAAAACAATAGATTTCAAAGGCTTATGGAAAAAAACATACTAAGCACCCATGTTTGTTCAAACATTCGGCACATTCATCGTTTGAAACTGATAACATTGAAACATTCGACACATTCAACGTTTGAAACTGATAACATTGAAACACCCCCTCAAAAAAACTTGTTAAAGTCTACTAGATATCAAAAGGAACTGAAAACATTCTTCAAATTGTTTTTGTTTGTATAAGGTCAAGGGTAAAGCACTCTTTTTTTTCAAAAAGTCGCTTTCCTTCTCAACTCTTTTAAAATCTGTATGTTGATGGTAAAAACGCCATAGCACGATGATTTCAAGATTAAAAAAATATCTATTTTAAAAATGTTATACTTGAAACTATGCTCGTTCCTCCATTGATCCCGCCTCTGATGTTTTGAAGGTTCGTGATTGCTCTGCTCCTATTTTGTATTGTTTTAAGGACTTTTGATCTTGAATTCCACATGTTTCATTGAAGAAACCTCAAATTGATAAAAAGCATGTTGTTTCTCTGACAGAGCAGAAAACTAAAGCGTTTAGCCAAGCCCATCTTTATTTTTTTTTCTAATTTGAACTAAGGGGAATTA